CACACGAGCTGAGTGGGGCCGCCCACTTCCCAGTGTCCACAGAGTCAGGGGCTCCCCAGGCGTCCACGGGCTACCTCGCCTGCAGTGAGGGTGTGACCCCGACATTGTCCTCTGAGCTCCACACGCACAGTGGCAAGTGCCTGCCTGCCCACGTCCATCCATCCATCCATCCATCCATGGGTGTGCACACACACACATTTTTTTAAGTTCTTGCCTTGTACTTCTCCGGCTGTGACCATGACTCTCTGGCTGCTGACCCGTTCTCTGGATGTCCCACTCTTGAGTCCACTGACCCTGTGTCAGATTGCAAAGTCAGGTGTGTGGTCAGCCACTGCAGTCTTTCGGGGACCTTCAGGGCGATGACGCCTGAAAATCCCCGCCTTTCTCCTGCAGCGGGCCTGTACAAGGAGCCCAGATGTGGAAGGGAACCTGAACCTGGCAGCCTTTCTGGAGTCTGTGACCTCAGGAAGGCAGGGCACAAACCCCTCGGTGCTGCTGTGGGTCAAGGTCACGTGTGTGTTGAATCCAGAGACGCTGAGAGGGTCTCCTTGCCACGGCTCAGGCGGCTAGGCACTGCCCGGAACTCAGTGGTGTTCTCTTCACGGTGGTGGTCTGCTTGGTCCTTCGCCTGCCGACTCCCGGGGGCTGGATCACTGGGCTCCCCGGCCTGCCTTCGACACAGCCTGTCAGTCCCGCTCGTTTTGTTAAAAAGCAAACTAACGGAAGAATAGTATCTTAGTTCTGTTTCTGTTGTTTCGATAAAGACCGTGACTGAAAGCAGCTTTGGGAGGAAAGGGTTCCTTGGCTTAAACCTCCACAGCCCAGCCCCTCACTGAAGGAGGTCTGGGAGGAGCGGAAGCAGAGCCTTGGAGGGATGCTGCTTGCTCGCTGGCTTGTTCCTCGTGGCTTGCTCCAACTGCTTCCTTACCCCATCAAGGCCACCTGTCTGCAGTGAGCTCCTCTGTCATGCCTAAAGTTGCATCTTCACCTGTATCATGCCAAGAAAACACCCTGCAGACTGCTCACCTACAGCCAGTCTAATGGGAGCAGTGTCTTGGTTCACCTCCCAGGTAACCCAGCTTATGCCAAGTTGGCAAAAACCAGACCAGCCAACCAGCCAACCCAAAACAGGGCATAGGCTTTTGTGTGTGTGCACATGTGTGTTTGTGTGTGCATTCCTCGGGTCTTAGGTTTTGGGCTTACGGAGGCTGAGCCTGGTGCTGGCGTGTGGCCTTTCTGGCATCTTCCGAAGTGATAAGTGCGGGAAGCTCCTTGGTGTTTTCAGTTCCTTTGCGGAGCAGCGCTCCCGGGAGGGCGCCCAGTCTGTCTGCTTAGCTCTTCTCAGGTCTGGAACGAAGAACCCGCGTTCAGGCCACTGGTGCGGCAGACTGCATGCAGATGTTTTTGTACATGTGTGCACGATGTATGTGCGCTCGTGTTCACGGTGAGAGCACGTGTGTGGCACGAGTGAGGCACTCAGAGGACCACTTCACTGGTCTTGCCCTCCATCTCACTGAGGCAGGACACCTCCTGTATCTGTCGCATCATGCGCCCCAGGCTACCTGTCCGGGAGTTCTGGGATCTGTTTCTTGTTCTCTCAGGGATCTGAGCTTGGAGTCAGGCTTGGGCAGCACATGCCTTAACCTACAGAGCCATCTCCCACGCTTAAACTATATATATATATATTTATATATTTATAAATATATATATATATTTTTTTTTAAGAACAGTTTTTTTTAAGAACAATTTCAGGTTTTTAGAAAAATTAAACATCTACAAAGAACTGTTTGTACCTGTGTAAAGCCCCTGACTCTGCTTCCAAGTTTGTTTTTTTATTTTAACTAGTACATTCGATAACAGAATTTACCACCTTAACCATTTCTTAGGTCTTGGGGGTTAAGTTTGCTCTCAGTGTTGATTGACCAGTACAGGGTTGACCCCAGGCTGAGGTCTGAGTCGTACCTGCTCCCTCACCTGCCCCTCCCTGCTGTACCTGTTCCTTCCAGCTGCACCTGTCCCCTCGCCTGCTCCCTCACCTGCTCCTCCCTGCTGTACCTGCTCCTCCACCTGCTCCCTCACCTGCTCCCCAACCTGCCCCCTCACCTGCTCCCCAACCTGCCTCCTCACCTGCTGCATCTGCTCCTTTCAGCCAGCCCGAGACTTGAGGTTCCCTCCTTCCTGGTAAGCCTTTCCCTCCCTTCCCATGCTTCTGTCTTTCTGCCCCTGGGCCATCAGGCCTTGTGGAGCCCCTGGCATTGCCATCTCGGAATGTCAGACTCCAGCCGTAACTCCCCATCTCCCTTGGGGACTTGGCGCTCCTGTTGGGGACACCCTTTGGAATCTTCCAGCAGCCCTGCACACATGGAAGTGAGGGCCCATGATATGTGGAGGAGCACAGCGTCCAGCCAGGATCCTGGAAGGATAATTCAAGGCTGCGTGCCAACCCTGACTCCTCCTGCCATGTTCTTGCCCCGCTGCCACCTGGCAGGCTTTCCTGTCACAAGTGGGATATACCAGGGCACAGGATGCTGGTATATCCTGTAGGCTGGTTTGGACCAGTGGGGGGCCAGCTCTGCAATGCCAAGACAGACAGGTGGGCAGAAGGGTGTCCTCGTGTCCTTTCGCTCCTGTTGTCCCCACATCAGCTGCTGCTCATTAGGAGGCGCAGACCTGTGGGTGCTCCTTCAGCAGGGTGTTACTGACAGGGCTCTGCCTTTCCCTCCGGATCATGCCTCCGGATCATGTGTGTCAAGTCCTCAGAGACCCACAGTTGCTCCTGTACCTGCTTCCTTGGTTGCTCAGAGGAGCCTGTGACAGGACAGCGTCTGGTCCCTGGCTTGGGTGACATACCAAGGGACAATAGAGTTTAGATACCCAGCCAAGCCCTGCCTGGGACAGGCAGGCTCTGCCGTGGTCAGGCAGTGGGGACGGTGGCCAGAAGCCGGAGCTGGGTGAGGGGCTGCCCTGTGGGACGAGGCTGTCTTGCTGCCCCAGCACCCTGCAGAGCCCACAGTGTGTCCGGGAACACCTGCTCCGAACCCCCAGTGCTGCCTGGGCATGTGAGCACTGGGCCGCCGGGTAGGGGAGGCTCCTGGGTCTGCCCAGCCCCCACGCTTCTTACTGACAGTGTCCAGCAGGCAATTCGAGACAGCTGGAAACCTGAGCAGCTGACGTGTCATTATTTGTGCCGCTGGAGAAGGAGCAGAACTGATAACAGCTCTGAGGCTGTGCTGTGTGTGGCGGGCAGCACCCATGTGAGTGTGTGTGTGTTGGTGTGTGTGTGCGAATGCGCACACACGCGCGAGCGTTCGCCTCTCGTGGTATCTATGCTGCTTAGCTGTGTCCTGGCGCTCCCTGCTGATACAGAGTCTGGACTGCCCCACCCGCAGTGTTGGCTGTGGACAGCCATTCCAGCCAGGCCCCTGTGTGCTGCTGGCCGATCGGGCTGCTGGGTTTTGCCGGGCCTCTCCCTGCTCGGCCATCATCCCCCCCCCACCCCGAGCTTCTTTGTCTTCCTGCCGGCTGTGTTCCCCAGCTGGGGGTAGGTTATGGCCCCTGAGCAGAAAATCACTGTTGCTGGAGCCAGAACCCTAAAGACAGGCCAGGCTCTGCTGGCTGGCTTGCCTCCACCAGCTTGCCTCACCACGAGGTGGTGGGTGTGGCAGCTGGCACAAAGCAGGAAGCTGTGGTGTGAGCTGGGAGTGGGGGAGCAGGGGAGAGCAAGGGAGCAGCCCCCCTTTCTCCCACCCCCTCCGCCCAGCCCATCTCTTCCCTGGGCCTGCTGGCAGCTCTGGCCCTGGCTAGAGAGGAATAAGGCTGGGATGGACCTGGAGTTCCAATTAGCATCAGCTGCCTCTCGAAGCAGCCAAAGCAGGGTTCAGGGGCTTCCCTAGAGAAGCCGCAGGGGCTGTGCGTGCAGGAGGCTGCTTGCAAGAAGGCTGACTCTTCAGGCCTCAGGGACACGCTGTGGATTTATGGGTCCAGATGCGTGTCAGCAGCCCTCTGGGAGAAACTTTGGGGGCCAGGAAACAGTCTCCCGTGGGTCCTGCTGTTTTTGATTGTAGGTGGGTTGTGAGCTCTCACATACTTCGTTCAGGGCACTATTCAGAGGGTGATAGTGACAGCCTGGAGAGGGGGCTCGTGGACCCCGCCATCTGCCTCTCACAGACCTGCCCCATTGGGCATGCTGGGAGTGGGAGCCACAGGTCCTGTGTGTGAATTCACACGTGTTCCTCAGGTGTGCAGCATGGACATGTCTGGAGGGTAGCAACGGGAACGGGGGACCTGTAGGGCTCCAGGCCACAGCTGAGGGCCCCAGACAGCCCAGCATTACGAGGCTGTTGTTTTTTCCGTTTTCATCATTCGCTGACAAAAGCACTTCCAGTAATAAAACCCGGTGTGAATGCTCGCGCTGAAGGGGCTGGCGGTCCATTGCCAGGCTTCCCCGGGTAGATGCTTGTGCCGTGCAAACTCTCTGAAGTATCAGCGGCGTGGTTTGGGAAAATTAAAGCCGTAAGAAAAGCAAGAAAAAAGATGACCTGTGTAATGGATCCGAGGCTTGAGGAGAGTTCTGGGAACAAGAGAAGTTGGAGGAGTCACAGAGACAGGCTACCGTCCGTTTACAGGAAACGTGAGACTGTGTCACTGAGAGTAGGTGACGCAGATGCAAACACCGGTGGTGCCTACCTACAGCCCAGCATGGGGGACGCCACGGGTCCTGGTTTGCTCTCTGCTGCCGCGACAAAGACCATGACCAAGAAGCAGTTAGGGGAGGAAAGGGTTTATTTTCACTTCCACGTCACTGTCAAGGTCAAGGCAGTAACTCAAGCAGCCTGAGGTTGTGGAACAGCTTCCTGGCTTGGCCTCAGTGACTTGCTCAATTTGCCAGGACCAGCTGCCCGGGGGTGGCACCGCCCACAGTGGGCTGGGCCCTCTCTCATCAGTCACTAATGAAGAAGGTGCTCCGGCAGACACGGAGACATACCCGGAGGCCAGTGTGATGGGGGCCTCTCCTTGGCTGAGGTTCTTTCTTCCCAGATGAGTCAAGGTGACAGAAGCCCACCAGCACCCTGGCAGGAGGATTTTGAACTTGAGGGCTAGAAATACAGCTGAGTGCTAGAGTGGGGCCCTCTGCGGGAGGGGGTGTGATTCCCAGCCTCACACACCCACAACAAAACAAACAAAAACCCAGCACTTGGCATTTCCTGTTCTTGGCTTCCTGGGCGGCCATACGACATTCACACACAGTGAGCCCAGACAGTGAGCATTTCTTCCTTCACAGCTTGGGAAGCTAGGAGCCCAAGGCCAAGATGCTGCCCGGTTTGGGCCTTCTGAGGCCAGGAGGGAAATGACCCTTGTCCCCGGCCTGTAGGTGGCTGTCTTCCAGGCCAGAGGCTGTGAGGGTGTGTCTGCCTCCTCATTCTTTCTGTTTATGAGAGTTCCAGTCATCCTGGACCGAACAGCAGTGACCCGGACACCTTGACTTCCTCTTCAGATAGCATCCATGCTGAGTTGGGCTTGGATGCTGAGCTGGGGGTTAGGACCACATGAGACTCAGGGACCGTGTCCAATCCGTGGGACCAGTGGGTGGGATTTTTCCATCTTTGTATTTTTAGACTGGACTCGGAAAATCCAAACTATATGTTATTTGAGGGAACGTGTTCTTCATACATCTTCCTTCCTTCGTTCTTCTCCCCTCCTTCCCTCCCTCCTTTCTTCTCTTCCTCTTTCTCATCTCCTTTTCTTTTCTTTTTTTTGAGACATGTACCCCAGGCTAGCCTTAACTCATGATGTAGCTGACTTTTTGAGACATGTACCCCAGGCTAGCCCTAACTTGCGATGTAGCTGAGGATGCGCTTGAACATCATCTTTCTGCCTCCACTTCCCAGCCATTCCTGGGACTGCACGTGTGCATCCACGGGTCACGCGCGTCACGCTGGGGGTGGACCCTGGGGCTTTGTGCAGGTTAAGCTGTACCCACTGAGCCGCACCCAGCCCCACTTAACTTTCTTAAACCTTTTCACCCCAGGGCTAGAGACCAAACTGGAATGTGTACGTGGTAGGCAAGTGTTCTGCCACTGAGACACGCTAGCCTGGACACTTCATTACCTACCTTTATGTGTGCGTGTGTGCGTGTGTGTGCACATACGCAGGGGTGGGTGGGTGGCAGCGAGGGGGTAACTTTCGGGAGGGGAGTCAGTCCATCCTCTCTACCGTGTGGAGCCCAGGGATCACACCTAGGTCATCAAGCTTGGCAGTGAATGTCTTGACGTGCTGAGTCTTCCAGTGGCCCCACCCCCAGTGAGGCCGTATACAGTCTAGGCTGGCCTCAAACTCACAGCCTTCCTACCTCAGCCTTCTGGATGTGAAGACTTGAGGCAGGTGTTGCCTCGCCCAGTGCAAAAAAGGGTTTTAGAGTTGAAGACAGACAGAGGGGTCCCTCCACCCAGTGTGATGGAAAGCAGACACTAGGCGCTGGTTTAGTTTAGATGAAAGAGGCAAAAAGCATATTCGTTTTGAGAATCAGAGTTGTCTCACCAGCGTAAATGGCCCTGGCTAATGTGGAACAGACTTGCCCTGGCTTGTTCAGAAGCGGCCAGGCCTCTCCAGAACACTCCGGGAGGGAGGTCGGTGGCACACCCAGCCATCCCAGCGTGGAGCAGCAGGCGTGCCCGCGCGGAGGGCGAAGGCCTCCCTGGGCCTCTTTCCACCTCCCACGTGGCTCTGGAGGCCGGAGGCCGGAGGCCTTCGCTGTTTCTCGGACAGCAGCGGGCTGTACCTCACAGCCACAGCCCGGTGTTTGGAATCTCCTTCCAAACTTCCACCACGTTCTTTTCATTATCCTCAGTGTGGCCAGACGGTGCCTCGGGAGGATGTTTTTGGTTTTCAGAAGCAGCTGAGGGCTGTTGGCAGCCAAGCCTGGTGCTGATGCGGCTCCCTAAGTAATGTGGGGCTGAGGCTCAGGAGGAGGCTGTGCCTGCCTCTGCAGCCGTGTGGAGGCCACGGCCACGGCCACCCCAGCTGCCAGGCAGGCACTGCTGTAGCATCAGACCCAGTCTGAAGTGTGAAATGTCTCTCTACTCACTTCTTTTTTTTTTTCATTTTAATGGTATATTTAAGAGATAATATTTGGAATTTAGTGGCTTATTAAGATTAATTTCAATAGTTTTTCTCTTTTCAAATATGGCTACATTGTTTATATGGCTTATGCAGTTTCTGGGTCTGAGAAAGTGCCCTCCTCCTCCTACTCCTTTTCCTTTTTTCCCCTTTCTTCTCCATTCTCCTCTCCCTCCTTCTTCCTCCTCTTCCTCTTCCTCCTCTTTTCTTTCCTCACCCGCTTGGTTTTCGGAAACAGCTGAGGGCTGTTGGCAGCCAAGCCTGGCCCTGGTGCAGCTCTCTAAGTAATGTGGAGAGGCTCAAAACTGGAGAGATGCCAGCGGCCTGCGGTTGGCTGGGCCCCGGGAGGCTGTCCCCGTATGCTCTTCGAGAGCCCAGAAGGCAGCAGGCTGTGCCCTGACACCTAGCACATGCCCCTGACCTTGACCTCGTGACTTCTCTCTTCCTCGCCTGCAGGTGGTGACAAGCCTTGCCAGGGCTGAAGGACCCAGAGGATGGAAACGTGTGCTCAGCCATGTCTCTGGGCCGCCTCCTTCGCAGGGCCTCCTCCAAGGCCTCGGACCTCCTGACCCTCACCACGGGGGGGAGTGGTGGGTCCCCCTCCATCCTGGATGGAGAGATCATCTATTCCAAGAACAATGTCTGTGTGCATGCGCCCGAGGGGCTGCAGGGCCCTGGGGAGCACCACCCAGGTGAGACAGGGGTCAGGCGTCCCAGGCCAGGGAGGGGAGGCCTAAGGTCCAAGGGACCAAGTCACTCTTGCCAGGGAGTCATCTTGCCTGCCCCTGGCCTTTAGCATTTGAAGGATCAAGGACCAGCAGGCACACTTCCTAGCCGCTGTGTGTTGGACCTCTGTGTGGCCATTCTTGGTGCACTTGTGGTCTCTAGGGATGGGGACGTCCCCCTGCTGTCAGTGTGCTAGGATTCACAGCTTCTGCTGTCACCTCCAGGTGCCTGATGAGTTTCCTTAGACTTTTTCAGGGGCTCAACTTAGGGCAATATGGGCTCAGTGGCTTTGACACAGAAAGGAACTTCAGAACCAGCTTGTTTGTGAGGCACAGCCGAGGCTCAGCGAAGACATTATAAACGGGCTTAAGCAAGGGGCGAACGAGAGGGGCCCAACAGACAAGGGTCAGCTGGGAGCATGCATGCAGGCGGCTGGTCCAGGGGACTAGACCCCCCCCAGCGGACTGGGGACAAGCTGGGGACAGGAGCCTCCCCTGCAAAGCATGGCAGGGTTCTAGGCTGTGAGTTCAGGGTTTGGGGGGCCCACTCACAGCAGCTGCGCATTACTGGTGTTGCCATAGAGGGTGGAGGTTCTCTTCTTTACCCCAAGGCCGTGTGATTGGAGGCTGTGGGAGCAGCCTCCCTGTCATGTGGCTGTTCTGAACAGCTGGCTGATTCTCCCAACCGCTGCCAAACACACAAGCGTGCCAAGGGGGTTTTGGCAGGAGTTCAAGTCCTCGGGGATATATGTGGTTGATGTTGGCTCTTGCTTAAACGGTTTTGAATCGGGGAAGCCTGGGGATGGTGTGTCATAGCCCAGGAAGCGGTATACCCCCAACAGCCCGGGGCTGCATTGGGAGATGCCATCCTCCCCCAGAGCTTGATGCTGACCAACAGCCTTCAGAGTGGTCCCTTCCTCAAAAACTGCATTTAAAACAACAAGCCAGGAACGCCAGGCTAGTGGAGGAGGCCCACGCGCTACCCATCTGCCCATCTTGGATCTGCTCTTGTCATGACTGGGCCTCCCATCTGCCTCCCTCCTCCTAGAGCTGTGCATGTAGCTGGGCTGCCACCTGCCCCACCCACTGGACGCCCGCCCCGTCCCCCGGAAGCCCGCCCTGCCCCCCGGACACCCGCCTCGGCCCCTGACCGTCTATCCTGCATCTCCCCGCAGGGTACCTGTGTCTGTACATGGAGAAAGATGAGCTGCTGGGGACAACCCTCATCCTGGCATGGGTCCCCAACTCTCGTATCCAGAGGCAGGACGAGGAGGCCCTACGTTACATCACTCCTGAAAGCTCCCCGGTACGCAAGGCGCCTCGCCCTCGCCGGCGGCGCACCACGAGCCTGGGGGCCCCCTACCAACCCTCTCCCACAGAGCCCCGGCCTCCCCTGATTCCCAAAGACGAGGACATCCTGGCGGCGATCCGGGACACGCAGGATGCTGCGTGCACCAGCCCTACAGATGAAGAGCGGGAGAAGCTGGCCCAGGGCCCAGAGGTGGATGGGACCCTGCCCACGTCACAGCCTGTCCACAGCGACTCTGGGATCCTGTGTACTGTCAGCTCGCAGGATGGCACAGAGGACGGCCGGGAGCCAAGGCCTGAGGCTGTGGAGGAAGAGGGCTCCTTGGAGCTGTCGGTGGACGGCGTGAGCAGGGACAGCTCCTTCGACTCTGACTCTGACGCCTTCTCCTCCCCCTTCTGCCTCTCCCCCATCAGTGCGGCCCTCACAGAGGGGAACAGCTCTGCATTTCTGGAGAGCGAGGGCAGGTGAGTCCTGACGCAGAGCTCCAAGGCCTGAGCTGGGTTGCAGGGAATGGCTCTTTTATCACCTGCTCGGCCCATAGGGTCGGGCCTCCGGCTCAGGGCCGGTATGTGGGGACTGAGAAAGATACAAATGGCTCCCTGCGTTCGTCTTCCCCAGCCCTCATCCTCTCTGTCCCTTCCGTTTTCACAGCCTCCGTACCCAGGGCTGTTGCCTGGTCTTGTGGCCCTTGACCAAGATCCCACTCTCGGGATCACTCTCGGGACTTTTCTGTTCTTATGCCAGGAGAGTGTTGGGTGTGTCTCAGCCCCGGGTGAGCTTTTGCCTGTGAGCCTGGGTGGTGCTGTGAGCTTCTGCGAGGGTGCCTGGCTGGTGCCTGGCTCCCTTCTGTGCACAGGGTGTGTCTGGCAGACTGCCTGACACATGGGCCCACTGGGATTCGTCCCTGTTGGCAGCTGTAGAGGTAGAAGCCTGGGTGTTCGACTACGGAATGTTTACAGTGTTCACTCTGCGGAGTCTGCTGTGCCCCACGGGGAGCTGGGTGTCTGGATGGCATGTGCTGCCCTTGGACGGCTTACCTTTCGGAGAGGGTCCTCCGGCCTGCGGGCCCAAGGTGCTGTGTCTGATCAAGGAGGGCTGCTACCATGCCACGCAGTGTCTCCGGGGTTCTTAGGTCCTGTTGTGCAACAGAACCTGGGGAGACACAACACACACGTGTGCTCACCCCAAATAGGGAGCCCACAATGGGCCAAAGTGTGGCTAACAGCAAGTCCAGCTGGGTGAGCTGTGACTTCTCCTGGGGTTATGTACAGGAATTGGATGAGGGCTCACTTATAGGAACAGAAATGATTCAAAACAGATGCGTCACCAATGCTCACCCCAGCACGGTGACAGTCACAAAGCTGGGAAACCGGGAAGCCTGTTCTCAACAGTTTCAGAACTCCTTTCCAGGTGCCTCAGCTGGTCCAAACCTCCCCCAGGCAGCTGGTCTGGTGCTTGAGTCGTCTTTGCAGCCTTCCTCAGTCTCAGAGGAGCTTTCTCAGCTTTTATTGTTTACTCTGGCAGGGAGTGGCCTAGTAAATCTTGTCAGTTTCAGGGACTTCCTGAAGCTCTGGCGTTGTGGAGCTTCCCTGCAGGACAATCTCTTTGGAAATCACCACACACAGGTCCACAGAGGTAGATATGTGCACGTGTAACTACACAAACCCAGGACACCCAAGGGTGAACACATCTGATACCAGCGTCTCCTATATCCCAGACATGGGTCCTCAGCTTGTTAGATTTAGGTAAAATGACGATTCTAAACGACGGTGGTGAGGGCCAGTGCTAGCCAGAGCGTGTGCAGTTAATTACTGAGCTCACAACTGAGCGGGGATTGTGGTGGATATCAGTGTTGCAGCACCGTGGGCATTGTGGTCACTCAGCTCTTGATTACACATGTCCGTTCTGTGAGCCAGGTCCTGGCGCTGCCCCTGCATTAGGCGAAGGGAGGGAGGCTCAGGGGTCGGCGTCTCACTGGAGGTGGGACTGGCACCGAGCTGGGGCTGCATCAGGGCTGGAACATGTCATCATGCAATGAGCCAGTCAGCAGAGGGCACAGCAGAGAGACAGGATGCCTTGCTGGCTGCAGCAGTTAGGAATTCAAGATGGAGTCTGTCCTGATTTTACCTCTTTGAGGAGACACGGTCTGCTAAAGCCTAAGGGGGTGATAACGTTGGTCTTGGTGTTTGAGAATGCAAGTGAAACAAAGCAGTTGGCCATAGTAGGCATTCCAGGCCTGTTGAGGGTCACCAAGCCAGGATTTGACCAAGAAGAAACCTTCAGTAACCCTAGGCTGGCAGGCTTGGGAGCGCCCCCTGGTGGTGCCATGCAGCAGTGCAGTGGTGCTTTCCGTTGTTGCTCACCCAGGCTGAGATCCAGGTGGCCTTGCCTGCCCTTGCCTGTAGCCTAGTCTGTGGCTGGGGACAGGCAGGACCGAGCCAGCTCTCTGCCCAGCATTCCATCCTGGGAGGATCTGGGATCTAGGAGTCAGGGGTTGAGGTGTTGCTGAGCCTTGGCTCCCTGCCTGGCATGGATCGGGGACAGGCTTATCTTCTAGGAGCCCCTGCCTCCCGTTGTATAATGCAGACCATAATATGCACATCACGCCTGCGCCGAGCGCTCAGTTGATTGGCTGTCACTTCTGGGTTCTTGTGTCCCCAGGCTCCCTCCCTTTCCCTGTTCCTGCCCGCTGTGAGCCTGAGCTCCCTCTTAACACAAACATTTAAAAACAGCCTGGAGAGACACATCAGTGGTTGAGAGCACTTGTTACTCCTACAGAAGACCAAATTCAGTTCCCAGTACCCACGTGGCGACTCACAGCCACCCGTAACTCCAGCTCCAGGCAATCCAGTGACTTTTAAAGCCTCCGTGAGTGCCAGACACAGACACGGTACACACACACACACGCAGGCAAAACATTCATAAAATAGAGTAAATACAAATAAAAGGTACATGTAGGTCACTGTTCTAGAGGCTAAAAGCCCTTTTCTAGTGGAGAAGCTGCAGGCTCATCGCTGGCTTCTGGGGAGGCATTGTTGGACAACACCAAAGTCACCCTTAAAAGTGGGAGGCCACATCACAGGAGGGGCGGGCTAGCCTGTCTGTCTGTCTGTCTATCTATCTATCATATAACAGCCCCTCCTGAGAACTAATCAGGGTCCTGAGAACTGTGGTCATCTTTCTCAGGCCACGCCACCAGTGACCTAATGACCTATGCCAGGCCACACCTTTCAAAGCTTTCACCACAGCTCAGCCCAGCCCAGCACAGCTGAGGGTTTGGCTTCCAAGCTCCAGCCTGAGTGCCCCGCTGTGCATGATGGGAGGTTTTGTTTCTAGCAGAAGCAGGTCCTGGAAGGGTGTGGGCCCTGGACCTGCATTTCTCAGCATGGTTTGCCTTGTGCCATCTCGCTCCTCTGCTGGGTCTATGAATGCGGAGGACAGGCATGCCCAGACTGGGAGACCCCTCGTGCGCAGGCTTCACCCAGGCCAGACCAGTACCCATGAGTCCATGGGGCTGTCTGAGCAGCATGTTTTGTTTATCGAGACGAGGTCTCGTGTAGCCCAGGCTGGCCTTGAGCCCGATAGGCAGCTGAGATGTCCATGAATTCCGATCCTCCTGCCTTCAGAATGCTGGGATTGAGGCTGCATGTTAACCACGCTGGATTTACTCTGTGGTAGGGATCTAGTCCAGGGCCTCATGCATGCTGGCCAGCTGGGGAGCTTTGTCCCCAGCCCCCAGCGTGTTTTTGCAGCACTGAGGTTGAACCCAGGATCCCTTACCACTGAGATACAGCCTCAGGTTTCTTGTTGTTTTTAACTTTTTCAGGTTCTTGATAAGTGGTCCAACCTGACTTTGAACTCACACTGCAGCTCAGGCATGTTTTTAACTTTCCATCCTCCTGCCTCAGCTTCCCAGTAGCTGGGATACCAGGCCTGGGCCTCCAGGTCCCGTTGGTTGGTCATTATATTTTAAACTCCCCCAAGGAGTTTCTGTTTGCAGCAGCCTTGAGAAGCTTGGCTGTGGAGGGGCCTGAGGGAGAGCAGGTCCCATGTGCTGGGCTGAGGGTACTGATGGGCAGAGGCTTAGCTCTGACTGACCCACCAGTCAGCATCTTGAAGTGGGAGAACTGAGTCCCAGGGAGGCCAGGCCCGGGCAGGGCAGGCAGGTCATCTGGCTCCCGGGCTCCCTCTAGTGGCAGCACTGAAGAACAACATGTGCAGGCAGAGTGGTGGCTGATGGACCAGGAGGAAGACAGACCAGCTGGTAGAGTCACTTCCCTCTCCGTGTCCTTACTTGGTGGGATGCTCCCAGAAGGCCTGAGTGGTTAAAAGCATTTCCAGGTCCCCTGGGCTTTCTGCATTTGTCTGCTGCCTCTGGGATTTAGCCTGGCAGGGCCTGGTTGTCAGAAAGCGCAGCCTTGTACCAGGCCCTGAGGTCTTCTTCTTAACTCCCCTCCCGAGACACAGCAGTAGCCTGGAACTGTGATCTGCTGATTCAAGGCCTTCTTGGGAGTAGATGCATGGGGCATGGCTCACAGGGCTCAGGTTCTGGTGGCCTTGGACTCCCCCTGCCCTCCTGTCCCTTCCAAGGTGTCAAGAAACACAGCTCCTGGTGGTGAGGGAGACGACGCCATGGACATCTTGTCACCTCTTTGCTTTCAAGGGGAATGGGTGCAGTCTGAAGAGCCAGCTAGGTGTGAGTGTGTGCTGGTTTGTGTGCGCATGTGTGAGCTGGCCTTGCACTTGGGATGGAGGTTAACATCAGACATTCAGTTTGTCCTGTCTTGTCCAGACACCCAGTATGGAAAGAGTCCTAAAAAAATGCCTACGTTTCAGAAAGAGGAAAGTGAATACAGATGTCTGAGGAACAAGGAAAGGGCCCACATACTGGCTAGAGAAAAGGAATGTTAGCTGACCCCACCGGTGAGTGTGCCTGCCTTCCCCCCTCAGTCTGTGACCCCTCCTCCCAGCCCTGCAGTGCGGGACAGAAGAACCCACCATGGTGGCAAGGTCCGTGCTGCTCTGTGGAAATTCCCAAAACCAGGGTGGGCTGGGGAGATGGTTCAACAGGGACAAGCCTGGGGCCTGAGCTCAGCCCCAGCACCGTGCAGAACCATGGAAAGCCTGTGCCCCTGGCCCCAGCACTCACGGCAGAGAGAGGAGGTTTCCCGGGCTTGCTGGCCAGCCAAAGGCCCTGTCTAAACCAAAAACCAGCCAAACCCAAACAAACACAAAAGGCTCAGTGGTGGTGGCACGCACCTGTAATCCCAGCACTCGGGAGGCAGAGGCAGGTGGAACTCTGTGAGTTTCAGGCCAGGAACTTTGTTAGCAGGGCTCTGTTAGCCCCTGCCTCTAAATAAATAAATAAATAAATAAATAAATAAATAAATAAATAAATAAGTAAGTAAGTAACAAAGTAAGGTAGGGCTGGAGCAAAGGCTCAGAGATTAAGTCACTGGTTGGT